GTATACCCAGTCCTCCATCCATTTCTGCTTATGATTTATCACCAACCGAAAGATGCATTCCAATTGTTACACAGTGGACCATGTCCACACACAGTGCTCTGTGGACTATGATCATCGAATGAAACTGTAGTAGAACTAAAATGATACTTTAGTATTGTTATAAAAAAAATTAGTGAGTGTGGAGAATGAAACTTCAAATTATATATGCAGGATCGCGTCCAAAAACTTTTTCACTCAAAATCAACCCGCGATTTTTACAATTACGAAGTTCAATGAATTACAAAACTAGATCTACCATCTATTTAAACATTAGACTCATAAACAACTCTATGAAAAGTTTACAAGTACAGTTTGAACTAATTTTACCAATTAAACATACTGTAACCAACATGGATTTCAACACATCTTGTACTAATATAAAGTGGAGTTGACTTCCCCAGATAATACACCAGTCTTTCCCTGTTTTGAAGTTTCATTGAAGCACCTTCCAAATAATTCCTTGCAGCACCTTCCAAAATAATATTACTATTTTTTCTTTTTGGAAACTTCAATTTTTTTCATTACAAAGATGCCTATTAGTAGTGTTTAGACACCATAAAATTAGGCAAATTTGTTGTGCATGATTCACCATGATTCATGTCTTTCACAAAGTGGCTTGAGAGAATTAAGTTCTTAGCCATTAGAGAGCGTGTTTAACATAAAGTAGTTGTCATTGAACACATTAGCATAGAGTTGATGTTAGAAAATCATTTGACTAAAGGCATCCCTCCATTTAAATTTAAAGATCTTGTTGAAAAGATGGGAGTTTCGCCCACTTTATAATTTTGTATATACATTCAGTTCAGTCTAATGAAATTCTTTTGCACTTTAGACACATCAGAGATTTTTTTTTGAGTATGTACACTTTATTTTAGTTTTATCTCATTAAAGAAAATACTTCTGTGAACTCGAAATGCACATATGGTTTGTTTAATTTCATTAAGTTTTATTACCTAATTAAGTACTCGAAGGCAATCTGCATTCATAATGGATACTACTCGCGCTAATTATGGCATATCATTATGGTTGGTGTAATCTTGTTCTTGGAAATTCGTATTTGCACCAAGTGAGAGAAGTTAACATTTTTCATTATGTATTATTATTACTAGTATTTTACCCGTGCGATGCACGGTATGAAACATATAAGCATAAATGTTATGGTCTCATATCAATCGTTATTTTGACTATAAAAAGTTAATCGATAATAATAGGAAAAAGAAAAAATAATCAAATACAACATTTTAACAACAAATGAAAAACAAAATTATGAATCTACATTTTAAAAAAAAAATTATGAATCTAAAGTATAGAAATTATGGATCTACCCCTGTGTTCACCATGCGTATGATAAACACGTTTTCACAACATAACTATTGCTTTGCAAGGTAGACCCATGTCCATCAATCGTTATACCCTACACCACGGCGCGCGTAGCACTGTGCGCCGCGCGCCTCCCAAAACGACGTCGTTTTGGGAGGCGCGGTAGGAAGTTGCTGTGATTATGTGTATTTGTTCACACAATTATGTGTATTTGTTTACACAATTATGTGTATTTGTTCATACAGTTATGTACATTTTTTATACAATTATATACATTCTTTTTATACAATTATGTACATCCGAATCAGAAAATTTGTGTGTATTATGTTAAGAGTTGATGTGTATTATGTTAAAAGTTTATGTTTATTATGTATTATGTTAGATTATGTGTATTATCTTTTAAAAAGAGTATGTATATTTTGTTATATAATTATGTACATTCATGTATACAATTATGTGTATTCTAGTATAACATTATGTACATTTTTAAACAACGGGTTTTTTTAAAGAAAAAATTACTGCCATTCACTGGGGCGGAAAATTTCAAAAAAAAAAAAAAATTAAAACAACGTCGTTTTGCATCTGGACGCACAGTGCAATGCACGCCGTGGTGTAGGATATAAATTGTCCATGTCCATGGCATAACTATTGAACTTTATATCAGCCTAACATAAGTCTAAGCCCAATTTAAAGAAAGGCTCAGCCCGTATATCTGACCCAAAGAGCATATTTTTGTAATTACATGACCCATGTTTATTATTTTTAATTTACACCCAAAGAGCATTTTATTTTTTAAAAAACAACCAATATAATACCACAATTGGTTCATTCTAATTATTTTAGAACTTCATTTTTTAGTTTTTATTTTTTCCATTGCAAATAAATTTTAGTCATTACAAACTTTACTATAACTAACAGAAATTAGACCCACAAATATATATATTTGTAAATGATTTAATCATGGTCAAAAAATTCTAATATGTGGTCCAAAATCAATAATATGTAGTCCGTCCAAAAGAAATAACATTGGCCCAAGTACAAAATATGATACTCAACCCTAATTTTGGATATCTCAAGCCACAACACACATATTTGCTTTTCTCATTTTTCACTTTCCTATACTTTCTGTCTAGACAATCACACTCACACCTCTCTCTTTCTGGTTCTAGAATTTTCAGTCGACCACAACTCCCATTTTCTTCCATTTCTTTCTGTCGCAATGCTATTTGCACACCGAACTGAGATTGCGAAAATCCTTAACCAGAAGTCCGCTTTTAGAAAATCAGTTTGTAAAATGGAGGGGTGGCCAAACAAATGTTGCGTCATCCAGTCAGCTTCAAGATCCACGTCCATGCAGCTACCGATTCAATGTCGTCATTACGACTAAGGTGTGTACGACAGAGACTAACAAATGACGTTCATATACGTTGTTTCACATATTGTTGGCGTTGTGTAAAAAAAGGACGAAGAATGTTAGGGAAAAAATACGATAAACAACTTAGAACTGCTAAAAAGCTAAGAAAGCAGATAAAAAACTTATAATACAAAAATCAATACCGTGTTTAATTTTGATGTTATTTCATATCCCTTGGATAGAAAACAATGGTAGAAAAATTTCAGAATTACATAACTACACATCCATAATTTCATCACATCCATAATTTCATAACTATACATCCAGAATTATATAACTACACATTCATAATTTCATAACTATAAATCCAGAATTGCATAACTACACATCCATAATTAATAACTATACATCCAGAATTGCATAACTATACATCCATAACTTCATAACTATACATCCAGAATTGCATAACTATACATCCAGAATTTCATAACTAAAAATCCAGAATAAATAAACTAAAAAATGAATAACATAATGTTGTTGCTGGGAATCGAAACCGACTTTTTTAAAATAAGAGGCGTGTTTTGATACAACGATGTCATTTTTGTATCCGTATGCACCATGGCATAATTTGCCCATAATTAGGATTGCCGGCTCTCATTTTATTAAGAGGTGGTGAACCTGATAGCCCATAATTAGGATTTAGGATTGCAGGCTCTCAATCTTGGCAATTTATATCCTACATCACGGCGCGCGTTGCACTATGCGCCCAGATGCAAAACGACGTCATTTTAATTTTTTTTTTTTTAAATTTCCCGTCCCAGTGAATGGCAGTAGTTTTTTCTGTAATGTTATACTAGAATACACATAATTGTATACATGAATGTACATAATTATATAACAAAATATACATACTCTTTTTAAAAGATAATACACATAATCTAACATAATACATAATAAACATAAACTTTTAACATAATACACATCAACTCTTAACATAATACACACAAATTTTTTGATTCGAATGTACATAATTATATACAAAGAATGTACATAATTGTATAAAAAATGTACATAACTGTATGAACCAATACACATAACTGTATAAACAAATACAAATAACGTTGTGAACAAATACACATAATCTCAGCAACTTCCTACCGCGCCTCCCAACACTACCCCAAAATGACATCGTTTTGGGAGGCGCGCGGTGCACAGTGCTATGTGCACCGTGGTGTAGGGTATAACGGCTCTTGTTCTTGGGGCCCATAATTAGGATTGCAGGCTCTCAATCTAGCTCTTGTTCTTAGGCCCATAATAAGATTGCAGGCTTTCAATCTAGCTCTTGTTCCTGGGCCCATAATTAAGATTGCAGGCTCTCAGTCTAGCGGAGCGTTATACCCTGGACCCGTGTTCACCATATGCATGGTGGATATGCTGTAGATTCATAATTTTTATATTGTAGATTCATAAAATTTATAATGTAGATTCATAATTTATATATTGCACATTCATAGTTTTTGTACTGTAAATTCATAATTTGATAACTATATGTGCATAATTTTATAATTATACAGTTTAGAAATTATGAATCTACATTACATAAATTATAATTCTACAGTACAGAAATTATGAATGTGCAGTATAGAATTTATGAATCTACATTATAAATTTTATGAATCTATAGTTTAGAAATTATAAATCTACAGTATAGAAATTATGAATATACAATATAGAAATTATGAATGTACAATATGTTCACCATGCAGATAGTGGACACGGATCCATAGCATAATTTGCCAAATCTAACTCTTGTTCTCCCCAGATTGTATTCATTCACTTTCCCCCCGATTGTAATCTAATACAATGTGAAGAGCTCTTATTCAACGTGCTTTATATTAGATTACAAGGTCATAAAATAAGGTGCGGTTATACCTGACCACAAAACTAGAGAAATATAACTAAGAGACTAATACTAAGTCTTCACATAATCATTCACTTTTTCTTTATTCTATTTAGGAATAAGGGTCAAAAGCACACTAAAATGCAATTAGTTAATTGAATAAAACATGTCATTGGCCCAGGAAAAAAAATATTTTCTAAATTAGGGATAAATTTTTAACCAATCATTCTAAATTTAAAATATTTGTTAAAAATAATTATTTAAAATTAAAAAAAAAAAAGATTTAAGAACTCAATTACATGTCTTTTGGGTTCAATAGTCTAATTACATTTTGGAGATGACCTCCTATTTAATATAGCTTCGTTTCTCGGTTTTCAAAATGGCTAATGGCTAGAAGTTAAAAGAATGTTTTAATAAATCCTAAAGAGAAACTAATTAAACACTAATAAAAGTTTGATACTAAGCTACAAAGTAACTAAGCTACTAATAACAAACTAATATACTAACCAAACGGAAAATTCATAATTATTTTCTACCTAAACTAACTAAGCTACCAGAAACGTGGATGACAACAAGGCCGCCACCGCGCTAAAAGCAACATAAAATGATGAGACGCTGTAGCCTGCGGAATTTGCAGCTGCCGGTGCCGGACTATGGCCGGAGTGGGCTGCCGGTTTTGAAGGAGCCGGAGTAGGAGAAGACTTCGGAGGTGCAGTTGAAGAAGCGGCAGCCGGCGGCAACACCGAAGGAGATGGTGGTTCTAAAGACTTAAACGGTGCGGGAATTGGAGAATCAGGGGAATCAGCCGGCGGAGATGGTGGTGCCGGAATTTGAGAGGCGGGAACCGGCGAAGGAGATGGTGGTTCTGAAGACTTAAGCGGTGCGGGAATCGGAGATTCAGCCGCCGGCGGCAACACCGAAGGAGATGGTGGATCTAAAGACTTAAACGGTGCCGGAATGGGAGAATCAGGGGAATCCGGGGCCGGCGGCAATACCGTAGGGGATTGTGGCTCTAAAAGCTTAGTCACTGCCGGAATTGGAGCCGGTAGCGGTGCAGGAATTGATGAATCAGGGGCCGGCGACGACACCGAAGGGGATGGTGGTTCTGAAGATGTAGCCGGTGACGGAATCGGAGAATTAGGGGCCGGCGGCAACACCGAATGCGAATACTTGGTAGGTGGTGCCGGAGTTGGAGAAAAAGCTGCAAATGCCAAAACAAACAGGTGATGAACCGGGAGACATAGATACTACTGCATGTATACAAATAGTCAAATTAGTGAATAAATAATATTAAACATCCCTTCGGGAGAATTCCTAAATAACCCAAGTTCCATTTCCACAAGGCACCCACAAATCTCTCGAAGCAAATTAGGATTAGTCTCCTGAATTAATCGGATCAAATTAGGATTAGTCGGGTGAACTTGGACCATCGGACTAGGAACGATCCAGACCCATCAAATTGAAATTAGTCGGGTGAACTTGGACCATCGGACTGAGAACAATCCAGACCCATCAAATTGGGATGTCGGGTGAACTTGGACCATCGGAGAACGATCCAGACCCATCAAATTGGGATGTCGGGTGAACTTGGACCATCGGACTCAGGTGAACTTGGACCATCGGACTAAGAAAGATCCAGAGACCATTTCGTGATTTAAACAAAAAAAATATACGTAGTATTAAACAATCCTAAGCACCCCACACTCTGGCCTGATTAAGCATGTGAAATGATGTAAATCACTATAACTCACTATAACTCAGTAACTCAGCATGTCAATTTCACACTAACCCTTGTCTTTTTTTTTTTTTTTTCCAGATACTATCTACTGAATCAATAAGTTAAGTTCGTGCGGATATAAACTGACCATCACCACAGCTACGTTTTATATCATTTGTGACCCCACAAGCAGAAGGAAGATAGGCGGCCCGGTCCATATCAACCGGAATCTCCAAACCGGCGGCGTGTTTAATGGCAAAGCAAATACACTCCCCGTGGGTCTCCGCCACCTTGTTCAATCCCCGGCAACAACTCCCGCTCGGCTTCTCCGCATCGCTCCCTTCTCTTACGTAGAAAAGACACTCCTTCACATCTATTTATTCAAAAAAAAAAAATGTAAGTTAATGCAAACTAAAAATCTGTAATTAAAAAAAAAATGTATACATAGTGTAATCTTACAGACCAGATAACAATATATCTAAACAGTCCGTGCTCGGAGATGGTGCCGGAGATGGTACCGGAACACCGTGCACCACCACCACCGCCAGTGTGGCTAAAATACAAGTAATAAACAAAGCCTGTATGGCCGCCATTTTAGTTTATATATGTTTGAGCCTCTAAGAGAATAGCTAGGGTTTTGTTTAACAATGATTTAGAATTATATAATAATGGATTTGCATTTGAAATCCCTTCAAAATCTCCCATGATTTGTGTAACTGATCTGTAGCTAGAGTGATAATCTGTAGTTAAGATTTAACCTTATCCATTTAATCTCCAGTGAAAATGAGATTTATGGGGTGGGTAGTATCGAATGTTAATATTAATACTAATATTAATTTTTAAGTTATTTTTACTGGTTGGATTTATGTATTGTTTTAGTGTTTAATTATGAATTATGAAATTTAAATATCTAATATAATTAATCACATATTCACCAGATATTGCCTCAATTTAACATATTAAAAAAGGTATCTAATTGCACTTTTTAAAAGTTTAAGGATCTAATTGACTTTTTAGGTAAAATTTAAAGGCTTATTTGACCGTTAACATATAATTGTTTACAAATATTTAGATCATAATAAATACGTATATGTGTATATATTTTTATTACGCAACAAAAATATATTTTTGATCATCTTCAATTCTTGTTTTTTTTGAATGCTATGTTCGAACATACTTTCTCAAAAATATATTTCTGATCAGCAACGAGGTCATTACATGCCATCTGAGCATAATGTGCTTGGTTTGATGATACTATCCGAACAATATCAGCATGAATATATAACTTAATGGAAAATCTTTAATCTTTAATGAATATATAACTTAAAGATCGACTTGATGATACTATCCGAACAATATCAACATGGTCATATTAGCGTACTATTAGCTGGCACTGGAAATCCAAGTTTCCTTTACTGAATATATTCTTCTTCCCACAATGTCCATATATACATATACTCCCCCCATTTGTATCGCCCAAATCCTTTTCCACTTTAAAAGAATTAAAATTTTGTCTCCAAATTTCAAGATTTTGAATTTTTCTGATACCCTTTTTCACATATTTATGTTTCTGATACTCGTTTTGACCTAATGTCTGGTACGGAGGATAATCTGAGTCAGTGGCTAAGCGGCGGCGGTGGCGGCGGATGGAAGAAGAAGGTTACGGCAAAGAGGTACCCGCCACCGATACCGTCGAAATTTCCGTGGGAAATGAAGAGGTATTATACGGAGGATGGGCGGCTGATCATCAACGTGGAGAAGGCTACATGTCGCCTCGAGTACTTCGAGTCCCGCCGCACAGAGGGGAGGCTCCGCCTTGACCTCGTCCAGTATGACTGCGAGGAAGAGGCTGTGGAGGAGGGCACGGCCGGATCTTCATCGGTGAACGGCGGTGAGAAGATTGACGGCGGCGAGGCGTTGGCGGATTGCCACGGTGGTGACGGTGGAGGAAAGATGTTTTCGAGTTCTGCAAATGTTCGCGTTGCAGTAAGTGAGATACGACCTGTTCTTCGTACCTAAAACCATCGAGAGTGTTTTAACTTTCAACCTAAGTTGGACAAAAGAGATTACTCTTTTGGTTTTTGGTGAAGGAAAAAAAATAGAGGAAAAGATAAATAGGGAATAATTTTTTTAGACATTTAAAATTGTCAAAATAGGTTAAACCCATTGGGACACTACTCCACCCCACGCCCTAATAAATGGGGTGGATTTTGATTTTTGAGGCCCACCAAAGTAACGAACTTTGGCAAGGCTAAGAGTGGCTCACCAATCTAATCTAGTTTATATATATTGTGTGTAAAAAGTCTAGAAAGGAAGGGTGAATAGACATTTTAATCTTTTTCAAAATTTATATTTTGGAGTTTGCCTATATTTATGTAGCTATAGCTTGTGTTGTTTGAGTTTGTAGCATATTTGAAAGTTAAGTTTGATAAATTAAAAGTAATTGTGTGTGTTTGAGCTTCAACAAATAAGTAATGAAAGAGTAAGAGATAGGCCGGGGGATTGAGTTATTCCGCACATAAGTAATGAAAGAGTAAGGATAGTAAGGGATAGGCCGGGGTAAAGAGAGTAGTTGTGTGTATGTTTGAACTTCAACAAATAAGTAATGAAAGTGTCATTTCGCACCATGAACTATATTCATGCACCATGGTCTTTCATAACATATATTTTGAGTCACTTACCATTAATTTTTTTTAGCCTAACATTTTTTACAGGTTTCTAGGTTATGACATGGCACAAGTTATTAGCTGATGTGGACCTTCTTTTAAGTCAACCCCAAAATCAATCTTGATATGCTTTCTTCTCTTCCACGTTTCTGGAAATTTTTAAACACACTTAATAATAATCCAAGCTATGGTAGATTCCGGCCAAAAGTCACATGCAATCTTGATATGTTATCCGTTACAAAGCCATGTCATCCCCTCCATCCACCTCGCCTACCAGCTAGCGGAGAAAGGCTTCGTCGTCACCTTCATCAAAACCCATTTTGATCCGTGCACTACCCCCTCACCAAGAGCAACTGCCGGGAGCCCGGGACGACGACATCTTTTCCGGCATCCGCAAGCCCGTCCACGACATCCACTACGTCACCATCTCAGACGACCTCCTGTCGGAATGGCGATGAACCACGACCCGTTCATGGTTCCCCCAGGTACCCAGAGTACCAGATAAACTCAGTTTGGAAGGAGATGAAGAAGATGCTACCCTAGAATGTGAAACTAGGCAATGTGGAGACGAGGATGGAGATAACGGAGTGGGAATGGAAGTAGAATAAGGAGTTTGAAGCCAGGAAAGAATTGTGCCAATTCCTGTAGAAGAAAAGACGAAGCGTAATTTTGAGGGGCATTACGAGCCACTGAGAAAGTCACTACTCTGCGAGGATGCTGAAAGAGCTGCTGGGCGGCGACGAGCTGAGGATGTGGAAAACCGAATCATAACCCAGGCTAGGACGCCTTTTCGCATGGGGTATATACCATACAGAACAAAATACGGCCTACATTCTACCATGTATTTAAAAACGAAAAAAAAATTGCCTAACGTGGGAAAAACTTTGCAACGCCGTCCATGATCTCGAGCACGAAACTGTCGCGGTTCTACAACAAAGACGTCGATTTCACTGTGGGCCCCATCTTGCCGCTGGTGTTCGGCCGGAGCGCGGTGGCGACGAGCCTCTGGTCGGAGTTCGAGCCCTCACGAGCCTATGCTGATCCTGCCCCTCATGCACCTGTAGCAGCAACTATCGGTGGCTGGGCTGGAGAAGGTGTTAGAAGAAAAAAAAAAAAATCCATGTCAGCATAGATTACCTACTAGCTGTAGGTAATCTGTGAAAATTTCTAGATGAAAAAAAAATTAATGATTTGTGAATCGAAATATATGTTATGAAGGGTCAGGGTGCGGCATTAATAATCCGATATAGTTCACGGTGCGAGATGACACTTTAGCCTAAGTATTTTTATAGTGGTTCAAAAACTTCCTACTCAACTATTCTCCTTAATATAAGGAAGTTTCACTAGTATTATCCAATTACAAGTGAGAGTAGCCTTTCACATTAATTGCAAATCAAGCCAATATATATTAGAGATCATATGAGAACCAACCTCCCCATGAGTACATGAGAACCAATCCATCCATTAAAAAAATAGATATGTGGATGAGATTAATATATTAAATTTCCATATTTAATGAATGGACAATGACCTTTTTCCATTTTCTTTATTTTTTTCCCCTCATTTTTGATTCCGTTGTTCAAAAGTAGAGATGAAAATGGTAATAAGTTTTATAATTACTAAAGAATTTGAATCCATAACAAAAGTAAACAAACAAATATAGTGATTGATATCAAATCGCATATAATAGGATACAAAAAGTCATCAGCCAACCAAATACAACCTACATTGTGATGCATACTTTAATTTTTGCTTTACATTTTATAGCTAAATAGGTACTTTAATTTGCGATCCCACGCCTATGTTTTCTTCTCTTGATCTGACGGGACGGAAGAGCGTCTCTTGATATGTCTTGAAGGAATCCAGCAACAAGAGATTGTTGTCTTCTCTTCATTATCATCACCACATACAATAACGTTCTTCTTTTGTTGCAACATTTCTAATTCTTCCATCTTCTGCTTATGAAGCTTTTTCATTACACATATTTCAGCAATGCTAGGTCCAACTGTTGCCATTTTACTGTTTCAAAGCTCAACGACCTTAATAATATTGCGAAAGATTATACTTCTACTCAAGTATAAAATAAAAGGAAAAAATATATGTGGAAATAGAAGGAATAAAAGGTTGAGATAATTGGATTTTGATGTAGAAACTTGTAACTTTAAAGATCTATATACCTATTTATAACGCATATGGTCATATATATGTATGTTTTACTATATTTGTTACTTGAGGGTCAAGGAAACGTTGGGGTTTAAGCACTACTTGAGGATCAAGGAAAAGTTGGAAAAGTCAAACATTAAACAGTAGACACCCAGTCACCCAACCGAGAGAAGGCAAGGACCTACCCAGCAGCAATACTTTGACCAGTTCAAATTATTCCTAACATTTACACTTTATTGGGAGAAAGAGTTTAGTCACTGTTAAGAAAGATTTATGATCTAAATTAGTATATTTGTTATTTGAGGATCAAGGAAAATGTGGGGTTTAACACACTGCTTAAACATGCGTCAATTGACTGTTTGAATTCCGAAATTGTCAGGTCAACTTTGATAGTTGTACTTGCCCACCAAGGCACTAAGGAGCTAGGTAACTAGGCAATGACCTAGCTAGCATCAGTACTTTGACCGGGTCAAATTATTTCTAGCATTTGGTGTGAGATCTATGAGACGGTCCGGTCATAAAATGTAATATATATATATATATATACTAGCAAATGTAATACTAAATCATGAATAAAATGCTTATTACTTATATGAGAATATATATATATATATATATATATATATATATATATATATATATATATAATACTTTTGAAGGAAAATGTAATACTTTTACATTTTGAAATAAAAGTATTATTGAATACTTTTTTCATTATTTATAAAGAAAAATATAGATTATGTTTGACAAATTTAACTGAAAAGCTAACTGAAAGATGAAAAACTATAGGCTAGAAGTTGAAAACTGAAGAGCGTTAAGCTAGCTGATTATGCTTAAAAGTGTTTGATAAAATTAAC